TAGATCCTCGTAGACTTACATAAGAGACTGATAGAGATACGTCGAGACACGCAGACGCACGAAGAATCTTACGAAACTTATATAATGACCGGTAGAGTTATATAATTACATAGAGGGATTGATAATTATCATAGATTCTCATATACTTATATAGAGAACCATAGATTTGCAAAGGTCTTCAATCCACCGAGTCTGTGCAGGTCGGTGACCTGGAACACATTTCCACACCCCGGCACACTACATCGAGTATACCCGTGACTACTATTCACGTGTCAAGTATTCCAGTCTACCAGTGACTGAGGAAAATATATCGGGAGGAACACTTGAGCGTGTGTTCAGCTTCCATGTCAGTCGTTCAATACACTCTAGAATCCAGGAGTACGTCCGGCGATATTTAACACAATCCGAATACATTTAACATTTTTTTTGCACCTATAAGTGGGCATACAACGATGTGACCCCCTCGTTATGATGAGGTTTCGCGATTAAGGGGGGCACAGTTCGTTTGGAGATTTGTTTCTGTTTTGCTCTTTGCAATTGTGGTGAATGTAGCACCTCTAGTGGCTGCAGGATTTAGATGAATTAATTATAACATATACTTCCAAACCTGCACTGACCAGCGTGGTGAAGTATATCTAATTTACCCCCTACCCCTCTCTCGACTAGTACGGTATGGAGGAGGCCTTCGCACAGTAAAGCCTTACTGATTGACAAAGAGCTGTATATTGCTATTATTCAAATGTAAAATATGACATTCTCAAGCATGCGTGCATTGTGAGCGATATAATTAATTTAATTGATTTATTCATTGGTTTTCTGTTGCTTCGTCTGCATGTCTCGTCGGAGACAAGAGCATCAGACCCACTAGGCTGGTTTAACAACTGGTGATTGCATGCATTTGAACCTGAGACTTCAGTGGTGCTGGCTCATTGCTCTGACATGGCCATTATGAGTCAATCCCATTGCCTTCCTTCCAGCAAAGCAACCTCAAGGCAAATTTTAATTTAGAACTAGGAAAGAGCCCAATGATGCATCCTCGCTCCACTCCCCTCCCCCCAAGGAACACGTGGATGATGTTAGACCCGAGGGATTTTTTTTGGTATTTAATTAAGCATTTTAATGAGCAAAGTGTCAAACTCATTAATAACGCTTCCACTCTATACACAACCTACCCTGTGTTCTTCACGCAATGCAACTTTTTTTTTTCGTGAACATTATCTGGAGTATCGCGTCTCGGAGAGCAATACGCCGGTCGGGAGGCCTCGTGTTCAGTGTGGCTGGGGCAACTCGCGTTGCTGAAAGGGGCGATGATGACCGATGGTCGAGACTAACGATGGATTGGCAGCCAAAGTAGCCTTGTTTCTCGCTTATTTTGCTTAATTCGGCGTTTCAATTTTGAAACACGTTGAATTTTGAAACACCGATTAACAAAGAATAAAAAGAAAAACACAAAACAAATAAAATCGAGCAAACCACAACCCCTTGAATCATCAATAGCAGCACGTAGCAAAGGTGGAATAAATAAATGATGGCGATGAACTAAAACTAATAACGATAATACAAAAGAGTCACGTAAAAGGCACGCGACAATAAAATTAATTTAGGGGCCGTTACGCTCTGCCACCGGAGGGCACTCTCAACACACGGCCTCTCTCTCTCTCTTTTTTTTTCTTCTCATCGCCCACTGGGAGGAAGGCCACGCTGAATCGGTCCTTCCCTGCGAAATTCTCACCCCGGCGTTCATCAGATGCCCCGTTAAGTCCATTGCCTCCTTTGCCCAAAGGGCAAGAAACCTGCGAGGTCCACCTCGGCCCCGGTGTTTGCACATGATTGTTTTGTGTCTTTGGGGAAACGACATCGTCATCATCATCATCACCATTATAATAATCATTTGTCTTCGTATCTTCTCTTATTGCATTTGATAAAGATCTTCGCAGCGATGACTGTCACGTGATTCGATGTTCCTCAGCGTGGTCACCAATGATTGCACACAAAACAGCCCCATTGCAATAAAATGTTCTGATGCACTTAATGTTTAGATTTAAAGCTTTCGTGACTGCAGGGATTCATCTTCTTGGTTTTTTCGGTATAGTTTACCGAAAGAACCAAGAAGATGCACTTAATGTTGCTAAATTCCCATTATGAGTATTACAAATATGGGTTTGACTGTCATTTCCCGGTATCAGGGCGAGTTCTTTTTACTGTGTGAATTCCAGAGAGCACTTGCAGAGATCTCAGAAGCAGTTCTGTGATATCCGCTTCCACGGGCCGTTTTCTTGCATGGAAGGATCCTAATGGGTATTTCGTCTCCTAACATGACACCGAAAGCTCGGTTGGGATGAAAATGAGAAAAATGATGATACAAACAAACGTATCCCCGATCTAGATGTTTTAAACACAGGTGAATGAAAGTGTTAGTACTCTGAGAAAAAGGAAATAGCATTGGCTATGAGTATAAGCTAGGAAGTAGCCAAACAGCATGATACCAACGAAAACACTTATTGAACACGATAACACTATTTCTATTTTACCAGGTAAGGCCCACTGAGCTATATAGCTCTTCTTTCAGAAGCGACGTGGCCACAAATGATAGGTCAACGAAGTGGCTTATCCTGTAGAAATGATAGCAGCCGAATTATTTAAAAACATTTTCTAATGTGGAGGAAAAAACCGGGGGACGTGGACAAAAATCCACGCAACCCCACGGGGAGCACATGCAAGCTCCAAATATACAATCGTCTGGGTCGAGATCAAACCCACGACCTCCTGTATATCAGGCGAGGTAGTTAACATCTCGCCACCCTGCCGACCTCGGAACTGATTGAATTTGTTAAATTCACAAATTTCTACGCAATATACCAAACCTTGATTGGATCACAAGGTGTGCGCCACTGTTCCCGCCTGCTGAATTAAAATAAATATCTTTAATTGCTATTTATTATTAAATCTATGCCTCTAACGTGAGTGTGCTCTAATGTAGGTTGCTTTAAAAAAAATCCCTGTCAAATTTTTAAATATATTTTACTCTTTCATATTTTTTTCCAGCTGTACATAACTCTTTTGAAGGTAGCGTGAAGTAAAGTCATTACCATGCTAATGGAGACTAGTGAGAGAATGGTGTGCGACATTCGCTGCCAAGCAGTACGACGGTTGTCTGAGTTTCAAGGAAACTAATTTGCAAGTGGAATCCGTTCCACACTTCTTCTGATTACAAAATTACTTTTGTGTGTGTGGCTCCCACGCTTCAACGGCGCAATGCACTCTGCAAAAAAAGTCTTTATATTTTTTTGCGTCTCTCTCCCCAACTTTCGTGACATTTAAAACGCGGTGGCCCACGTCTCTATCCCATTTTCATCCATCAGCCTCGCCTGTGCCCCGCATTTATTTGTGATTTTTTTTCTCTCTCTCTCTCCCCTTTTTTCCCTCCCAACCCCCTTCTTTTTCGCATGGCAAAGCGGGCAGCTATGCTCCGCACGCATTTCATTACGAGCGGCGTGATGGCCAATGCTTTTCATTGCCTGACACCTCATAAAACATTCAGTGGTGGTGGTGGGGGGGACAGGGAAATGAATGCAAATTCCGTATTAATAGTTAATTTCCATAAAAACCGGGATGGGACGAGAACTACATTTTTTTTGTTATTTCCATTTCTTTTTCACACGAGACGCTTTAACGTGCGCCGAGTAGCTCCAGGTAATCTGGAGCATTGCAGGAGCCAATTCTCACCGTGGTATTTTACGACTGGTTCCCCCCGTATGAGATTCAATGTATGTATGTATATTAGACTGGAGATATTGGGGGGGGGGGGGTCGACAGAGGGGCGACGAGGGTAGAAATTGTATTCGAGATAAGTATTGTAATGGCCTTTTTCGCCACTGAATATGTACAATAGGGAGGCAATTGGAAATTTGTTCTTGTACCTGGATGTGATTGTAAAAAAAATGTAAGTGATGAAACCAGGCCTTACTAAATGCAGAAGGTGAGCTTGTAAAATGTGGCCTTCTGGTTAGCGATATTCTGAATATTTATTCCTTCATTTTATTTGCTGGAAAGTTGTAGAAATGTTTGTTACGGGGACATATAGCTGGGTCAAAAAAAAACGAACCTCTGTTTAGCCTCATAGACTGTTGGGGCAAGTGCTGCTAACGAGCTCCTATGAAGGCCAGCACAGCACACGATAAGCACGATTGGCTCCTTACGGTGCGAAATCAGTTCAACATACACTCACATATACGAGGAGTGGGTGGCCAGCACAGCACCTGGTGTCTTTGTCTCCCTAGTTGCGATGCTTACACACCGCAACATATACTCATTTGAGGCTGAGTCGACCTAGGGGAGGCCCAGGACCGCTTCAGATAATCGTCACTGGTGCCGATCGTGAGTGGGAATCGAACTCGGGTCGCCGGGTTGGTAGCGCAGCGTGCTGACCGCTGCACTACCGCTCCCCACAAACACACACACACACACACGCCTGCATGGAAGCATAGAAACACATGTGCAAATCCATGCAAGGTTGTGATGGGTCCAGCCATCCCTTTCCTGGGGAGCCCGTGTGCGTGTGTGTCTCCCTCTCTGCTTGCTGAGTGTCTGGCTTGCATGGGACGTGCGTGGGAGCCTCGGGGTATTTATGGCCCCCAAGTGTTTGTGCGCGTCTGTGGGTGAGTTATGGTGTTTGGCAGCAGGATCCAGCCACTCAGTTCCTCCCAAATCCCAGCAACTCTCCCCCCCCCCCCCTTCAACACACACAGCATCTGACCTTTCCCCCCCTCCACTCCCCTGCCGGCAAATCTGTGAGCTCCTATTTTCATGCTTCCCTGTGTTGCTAGTCTTTACGCAAAGGTACAGCAAAAAGAAATGGGATCCAAGTAAGAGTCAATACTTTGGCCCAGCGCGTGGTCCGCGTATAAGTTTCCTTGCGGCCGTTTTGTTACGAAAATCACTTTTGTGTTGGTTTCAAGAGGGTGCGAGTTAACAGTGTGCCTCATCCATTGCCATTACAGCGGAGAGGTCGGGCAGAGGAGAGGAGTGGCAGGCGAAATCGCACGGTATGTTGATTTGTATTAATACACCAAAAAGCGCCACTAAAAAAAAAACAAGTATCATCTCAAGACGTCTTGGAAAGTGCTCTTCCCGGGCCATTTCTTGTTTTCAAAGCATGCTGTGGTACAGCTTAAATAAAGCGCAAAAATAAATCTCTCGGGGTGCCTTAACACACTCGCCGCCGCCACCCCGCTCATGTAAATATTGCCTCCTTCTTCCCGCAGCTGTAGTTTAATTCTTATTTCTCTTGAAGGGGGGGGGGGGTGCACAAAGAGGACAGCCAAGATCACCAGAGACCTGTCAAAGCCACAGGCCGAAGCCAAACATGCGTCAGGAGTGGTCAGGAGGGCCCCCTGGGGGAGCGAGTGGAGGCGGTGATTTGTGTGCAGAACACAGGCGCGTGTTCGCTCTGCCGAGGTGACATCCCAGCTACTACCATAATGGACATTTCCATGACGACCACTTTACGACGTTGGTTGCCCGGGAGATGACTCTGGTGTCATCCTAACCGACGTGGTCGTAAAAAATAAAGAGAAGAAGGGGAGGAGGAGGAGGGTGCACAGGGGCTGATGTAACCCCGAGTTGCAGGCACGCCGACTTGAGAGTGCGAGCGGCGGTGTGCGGGAAGAGAGAAAAAAACGCACTCGTCAAGTTTCATTCTTTGACTTTATTCTAATTGAGCCCCGTTATGTGGAGAACGGGCCTCTGACACTTGTCAATCTGGCGTTCGGCCTGTGACGCTTGGTCCTATGGCTGAGTGGAAGGGATTGCACGTTGAACTGTAATGTATCTATGTTGAACCTCTTTCGCACCGTACGTAGCCAACCGTGCTAATCGGAGGTGCGGGGTTGGGGGGTTGTAAGGACAACACACTAAGCACACACGCACACACAAAACGACAGTAATTCTCAGAACGCCAAACATGCATGTCTACAGCCACTCTTTAGAACAATTCCTCTTCCTACACCACGGTGTTTGCGCACTGACCATGGGGCTTCTGCATGCCGGATAGGTTGCATACCGAGGGGACGTCGACATTTCCAATTCAAGACCACTGACTATGGCTCGCAGGCGACTAAAACCAGTTTCTCGTCCGAGGAGAGTGCATTAAGCCCAGCTTGGTCGCAGCGGCAATGGACGCAATCTGTATGGCCAAGGTTACGAGGGTCAGAGGTCACAGTGGACACAGTCCACCCTGTCTCACCCCTCTAACGACGCTGGCAATCACGCCTCCCTCCCACCCCTTCCCTCCACCACCCCTGAGATGGAGCTCACTGTCATCGCACGAGTCGCCCCAGGGCCCAGGTCATTCAGGGGCCCAAGGGGGGCGATTGAGAAGCCAGGGAGGGGGTTCAATATAATGGGTGGGGGGGGGGGGCTGATAGTGGCCACATTTAGAATCCTATTTTCTCTCAGGACAGCGATGAGTTTAGGGTCATCAGCAGCCACGATCTATCGACTGCTGGAAGCAGGCCTCCTGTGTCGAGGATAAACTAGGTAGGTAGATATGCCCCGACTGGACATGTGTGAAAAAGGGCTTCATAGCTCATCGGATTTCTCCAGTGCGAATAAAAGATTGTGATTCTGATTATGAAAACGAAATGAGAGCGATTTGAGGCTCAAAGTCTTTTTTATAATCGAGATCTGGGTCATAAAAGACACTGCAGCTCTTGCCGATTAAACAAAACAAAAACAGTATAAATTTCGTACATCATTGGAAATATTAAATACAGTATCGAGCAAAATATCACATTTATATAACAGGAAATATTTCCTGGCATTTACTCGTCACTAAAAATAGTTTACATGTTGACATCAAATTTTAGGTTATATAGGTTAGATACGGATGAGGTATAAAGTATGAATCAGAAAGCGCTTACATTCACATTTCTCAAACAATACGAGTGCGATCGCCCATGAAAAACAGCCCCAGCCATGCCCGTCCCTCCGACGCAAAATATTCAGAGCCCGCATTGGCAGCAGTGGCACGAGGCATTTTTCTACCCACGGCACCGGCGTTTTACAGCGGCGTGACGTGGTGGGACGCGAGAAATATACAGCTCTGTGCGTGGCCTCATTCTCTGCCGAGCAAGAAGGCCTGTTGTGACCTCTAAGGCTCAACGTCAAGACCGCCTACATGAGGTCACGCATCTCCGGGCAGGATGCATGCGGTGATGAAGCGGCGGCGATGGCTAGAGAGCCATAATCTGACACGCTTGATATTAGAACATGACTTATGGGTTTGACGGAGCGGGCAATAAAGCTGCGCAGGCCATCTGTTTGCCGTCCCCTTGCATCTACGGGGCAGATATCCCGATGCTCCGTCTGCATCTTGCAGTTTTACCCGTTTCTTTTTTTTTTGCAGCGCAGCGTTTTAGGAACGCCTCCGCCCAACGACCGCGAGCAAAACAATTACGGTGCCGGGCAGATGCTCTCCCATTATTTTTTTGGGGATTTATTTGTTCAGTAAGCTACGTCGGGAAGAGGTAATCGCACGTGTTACTTGCGACGAGTGAATAAAATGAGTGACGTGCGAGTCAATTAATGCGGATATTTTCCTTCATTCCCGTTACCCCTTGTGTCACACACAAGTAAGCCGATTCGTGAGGGTATCTGCAACTCAAGGCAGCGAGTGAATAATTGGGCCTTTCGTCAAAGAGCTATCGTCCATACGGCATTGCAGCTGGGTGGGCCATCGCTTCAGAACCAGCAGGTCCCCATGTCATCTTACTTTGCACAGCAGCGTAAAGCACAAGGCCGGCACTCAGAGCCTCAAGGCAGGCCCCGAGGTCGCCCACTGATTGGAGCTCCTCGGTGGTACCAATCTGTCCAGGCCCTCACAAACATGATCCATCATCCCCCGCCCGCTCCACCACGGCGCTCTTAAAATATAACGACCTGAGCAGCACTGGCGGCAATCTCAGCAACAAGGTAAATTATGGACGGTCTGAGCCATTAACTTCTAATTCGGCGCGTGCCTGGAATAAGTCTGGGCTTACCGATGCTTTTTGCCGCAAGACCCGGCTCTGTGCGGCTCCGTGGGTGATTGTCGGAGCCAGTTTAGATTGCACTTCAAGCTGGAGCCGTCACAGTTGTCATCTCAACGCCATTATGCTCACGGTTAACATTTGGCAATGACGGAAATGTTTTGCTATTAAATGACAGAATTTTATTTTTTACTGCTGGGTTATTGAATGCCTAATTATAGCTCTGTGGGCAAGTTTGTGTTAAGAGGGAAAAAAAATCCCTCGACAGGCCTGATTATAAACAGAGGTAGTGATGATAGATGGGCACAGGGCAACTGAAATAGTGCTGCATACCAGAAATATTTATTAAACATTTCAAGCACCAACTTCGTCCCAGAATTTACAATGATCATACAAGCCATACCAAAAAATGTTCACTTTTCACCAGCTGAAAATATTACTTTCAACACTGTATAAAGTAATACTGCACAGTATACGTATTGCACAGTTTGATCTAATTGCTGTCTTCGTAAACATGTCTGCATGTGGTTTAGGAAATGTTAATAAAATAAAAATCGTAATGACAGGATACAAACCAGTGCAACATTGAAATAATTTATACTCTTATATTAGCTTTCTATTCTATGTAAAAAAAAATTTTTTCTAAAACATTGGAACATTTATAATTGCAAAGCGTATTATACCACAGTATCTTGAACTACGGGCAATGTGCCATCCATAATTATGAAGCTGATATTTTATATCGTGAACTGATTTTTTTTTGTATGCTGAATTGTGATCTGTCTACACAATGCATGTTTTCAAACTCCAAAATGTACAAATGCGTACATTAAAGGAGGTAAAGGTGAAACATTAATGCATTTATATTCTTTATATTCTTGGTTCTTTCGGTAAAGAACCAAGAATATGAATCCCCGCAGTCACGAAAGCTTTAAATAAAAAATTAATGCATTTATTCATAAAGTAATAAGTGACACCTTAAAATATATTACCAAGATGATAAAGAAGCAATATTGCTCACAGTATAGCTTTGGTGGGGTTAAAGATCCAATTGTGAATGCAAGCACAACTGCCACCACTTCCAACATTTAAGACGCGCGCACACACACACACACCCCTTTACAAGCTGTGTCGGACCCAAAACTTAGCCCCACACACGCACACGTGTATACATTAAATATCAAAATCATTACGGACTCTACGGTGATTTTCAAGAGGCTATAATGGTGCGGGGATTTGACAGGTCCCAATTTCACTGTGCATAAAACAGGTGTTTCAGCCTGTTCCTGGGCTACTTTGTGGGCAGCAGAGGGCAGTGCAGCACAATCCATTGCACTGCCATGCTCCTGTCGATGGTTCTGCGTCTTCACCAACCCAGACCGCACCAGCATACTGCGGTATAGCCATACAACCCACCACGACCTGCACTGCATGGGTGAGACCCTAATCCAGCAGTGGATTGATTGTCGGGAATTTGCCAGATCCCAGTTGCCCAGCGTTTTGGTACATGCTGGTAGCTGGTCCATTTCAAAGCCAGGAGATGTCAGCTGCTGGGTTGGTTAAGCTGAATGCTTTCTGCTTTGGCTCCCTCTGCTGGCTCCTTGCAGTAACACTGCTCTGTGATGTTGCTCGAGGTTACTCCAAGCAATTGTTGTGTGAGCCCGACACAGAGTCCTGTTCACTGCGAGTACAAACACAAAATGTGATATTAATGTAATGAACAACAACTTTGCCAAACAAACACGACAGGAATCTTCTTAAAAAAATGTATATACTTTCCTGGGTAAAGGGCATCATTCCTATTAAAAGTGTGTGCGCAATTACAACCGACCAGAGTGTGGTTCATGACACTTATAACAAGCAGCATTAATTATATTCGCATATTCATGATCAAATCCACTTTTGATTTCAAAAAAGGTCAAGGGTTTTGAGACTGTCTCAGGCACGAGCATGTTGGTGGACAGCATAGAACTGCTCACAGTCCTTGCATCATTCTCTGCTTCAGAGATCATTATCAGGTCTAGGCATGTAACGACACATCACGTACATGCAGGGCCCTTTTGTAAATCCACTGCTAATGAGGGTCTCACCATGCCTTGAGGGTCTTGCGAGTTATTTATCCAACCACGTTTTGCCATGCCGGTCAGTGCAGTGCACCTCGCAAAAATGTAACTTCCATTATCTGGAGTTGCAATGTGATAATCAATTCTATTTTTTTAATGTTACATTTTGTATAAGTACTTTTGTACAGTTTAACTCGTTTAAATTAACCAGCAACTCTAGATCTTGCCAAATACACATACAAATCGTAAATAAACAAATTCTCACAAGTTTGATGCGTGTATACCTTGCGCATAACAATTCATTTTACTGAACCAATACATCAGTCCAGGCAAGGAAACACTTCCAAGGTGATGCAGTGATGAAATCAGCTCGTGTGTGTGGTGGATTGTGAGATCGCAGGACCGTCAAGAGATGGTGACGGAAGCGAGTGGATTGACCATGGATTGATCACGGCCAATGTTGATGATGCACGGCCGATGTTGATGATGCACGGTAACATGTATGTACACATATGTCGAACTTCTTTCGCACCATACGTAGCCAACCGTACTAATTGGATGTGCAGGAGACGGACAACAAACTAAACACAAAAAGTAGTTCTAAAGAAATGAGATTTCAATCTAAATTTAAAAGTGCACAGCTCCAGTGGCGGCTCCCTAACATCGGCCTCATCGGGTCATGCGCTGAGCTGCACTTGCCTCTCTGTGTCATATTCCCCGCAGCAGGGTTTCTCTCCTTCGCCATCGTACGTGGACATGGCGAGTACATCTGGGTGGCTCTTGCGAGGGGGCGACGCATCCCTAGCAGAAGCCACCTCATTCTCCTCCTCCTCCTCCTGCTGCTGCTGTCGCGGCTGCTGCGGTTGCGGCTCTTCCATCGGGAAGCGGCAGCCGGCACGCTGCTGGCACATTATGGCATCGTGGACGGAGAAGCTGGTGAGGCCAGAGACGCACGCGTCCATCTCGCTTACGCTCAGGCGGCTCTGCAGGAACAGGTGCAGGCGGCTGTCCGACAGCACGATGACCATCTTCACTATCCTGACGCATGCCGACATAAGACAACGGGGAAAATGCGCCAAGTTTAACTTTCATTGCTTCATTCCAGTGCCGACAAATTACATATTAACTGCATCTTGTGTAATTTGCGTAATATTGTAAAAGTAGGAAAGTTTTTGTCGACCCACTGCTGAATGGAGGCTGTTGGCCATGACAATTGTTTGACCAGACTTCACTATGCTGGTTAGTATGTTAGGAGAAGCAGGAACACCCAGGTCGGGTTCAAATATCACTTGCCACTGTTGGTCTTGGCCAGGAGTCAGAGATGGTGATGGAAGCGAGTGGATTGACCAATGATTGATCACGGCCAATGTTGATGATGCATGGTTACATGTATGTACACATGTTGAACTTCTTTCGCACCATACGTAGCCAACTGTACTAATTGGAGGTGCGGGAGACGGACAACAAACTAAACACAAAAGTATTTCTAAAGAAATGTGTGGCCGGGAATCAGGTTCATAGTGCAGTATGCCACCAAGCCACCCCAAGTGACATTATACCACGCAATATACAGCACACACAGAGTTAAATATAACAAATACATTAAAGCATTAAGGTTAAAAAGAGCATCAAGCTTACATTGGGAAATAAACACACTACTTATATTCTCAAACTGGCGAGCACCACTGTGGGTAGAGGGAAAGTGGCTGTTGTTGTGGCCGATGTGGGCATGCAGGCCAACCTGTGCAGGAAGTTCTGAAGGCCCTGCCTCCTCATCTCCACGTCATTTTCGTTGTAGCAGCTGAAAAAGAGGTTCCTGGGTGGCAGGTCCGGTAGCTGCCTGTATCAACACAAAGCAATGATTGATCACAGCCAATGCAGTTTGATAGTAACAGTGAACAACAGATACGTGGTGTATGCCTGCATGATGCTCCCCGGTGTCTGATAAATACCTTCACGCAAATTCCTCCGACACTCAAGAAAAACGCATACCTTTTCACCGTGATATTAATATACGATGCACACGAAATTCAATTAACCAAATTTGCGCGTGATAGTGTTGCTACTACTTAAAACGTAAGCTTGGTGAAGAGCTCCATCTAGCGGCTAAAAAGATGCAAAGCAATCAACAACTGGAAGAGTAAAACCGGGTCACAAGACGACATGCATGGTTCAATCTCGTGAGTGCCGCCCTTCTTTGCGGACGTCGTACTCAAGATTCGTGCTCTTCTCCAGGCACTTGCGCAGCCACACGAACTCCCGGAATCGACGACGGGTGCAAGACACCTTGCGCGTGAAACTTATGCTGTTAGTCTGAAAAAGAAAAACCGACACCGAGAGCCTGAAGCACAAATGTTGTGTACGTACAACAGTAACTAGAAATTATTTTCAGCTAATATGTAAAAAGTTAATACTATTCCTCTTCTTCCTGGGATATTTCCCACCAATGTGAGTTTTGACTTCCTGGTCTTCTCTCTCCATGTATTCCTGTTGTGGGCCATCTCCATGTCCACTCCATAGTTCCTCTTATCATGGATCACCACTTCCCACCTCTGTCCCAGCCTGCCTCCACCCTGGTGCTTCCATTTTCACAACCTTTCATATTCAGATGTGGTTTTCCTCCGTTGTCCCCAAATTCAATATCAACTTAATTTCAGCTTGACTGATATGTACACCGTTCTTGCTTTCTTCCACATCATGTCATGTCTGACCTCAATGTACAAGAGCTAATACTCTTGCAAAATATAAAAACAACTGTGTACCACCAGGGCCAAGCGATGACAATTAAGACCAAATAATTTGTGAATTTCAGTTACGCTGAATTGTATATTTGATGTTGGATGGTACACCCAGGGCTGGAGAACTGGCACCTCGCATAAACTTTACATTCGGTGCCCTCCCATCCACCCCCACCCCTTTCATCAAAAGGTGGCGTGATAATATGCACTAATTATGACCAAAACTGCACCTGTTACACGTGACAGCTCTTTCAGATTGACGCAAAATAAGACTTGGATTTTAATAAAGGCCACCCTTGATCGCGGCGCCTTGTGCTGTCACACATGTCGTTCGATCCTAGGGAGGGCACTGGGTGCACCTCGACGGGGAAGTCTGATTAGCACCATACCTTCACTTTCAAGTATCAAGGCAGAGATGAAGGCAGAGATAATATAATGGAGAAAAATGGGATTAAATAAATATATTTCTCAAAAGTAATTTCAATAGGTTGGCCACCACGCTGGCAAATGCCTGACTTTCTTAATAAGTTATTTGTTATCCTCAAGTGTGCAGACTAAACACAAGGTTTCATATCGCTATTGGTTGATGATTGCTGGACCTATAAAAGTTAAGTACAAGTACCTATTTTGCATTGAGTTTACAAAGCTGTTTTTACACAGTTGCTAACCATGCCAAAAACATGAGGCAGTTTCTATAGCTCAGCAAGTTGGCATTTATGACACTGCTGAAAAAAAGAGTTCTGTTTGACAGAGAAAATGAGAATATGCCATGAGCAAAATACTCAGCGGTGTGCCTTACTGAGGACAATTTCTTACGTGCAAGAATATCTCATAATCCACGTGAGGATGCCATGAATTCCTGTCCTGGATTTGGGGATCTCGGACGCGAACTTCCACAAACTCCTGGGGATATAACACACATACAATGATTCCGCTTTTAGCCTCAACATATTGTTGGGGAAAGTGCTGTTAGTGAGCATCTATTAAGGAGGCAGGGCACACGAGGGGGTGGGTGGCCAGCATCGTACCCGCCCACCCGCCTTTGTCTTCCCACTGCTGATGTTTACACACCGCACCAGGTACTCGTCTAAGGCCGAGTCGACCTATGGAAGGTCCAGGACCGATTCAAATATTCACCACTGTTATTGGTCGTGTTCGGGAATCGAACTCAGGTCACTGGGTTCATAGCCCAGCGCGCTAACCGCTATAAAACTGCAAACAACCTATTGGTCTACATGAGGACTAGGTTGTAAAATAATTTGTACATGATAATAAATGGTCGTGACACCCATTGACACATAAACAAATGAAGGTTCTAGAAAGCGCATGCTCGCTGCCAGCAGTAAACCCACTCACAGCATACAGTATTCGGTTTAGCGCATTTGATACCAAAAAGCATCGTAAGCGGACGTAAACCGAAAACAAGCCAAATGTTAAACCAGCATCACGCACTGGCCTTGCGGTCCAGCCAGAGCAGCAGGGAGCAGCTATAAAAGCATAAACTTGCGACATCACTCGATTTCCAGGAAAGGAGCCGAATAAATATGAAACTGGTTCAACGTTGCCAAACCCCGTGTCATCTGACATGAAAGAAAAGCCACTGCAGTATTGCACTGAACATTGCTTTCATTGAAACAATGAAAATCGTAAAACAAAGCTGACACAATGTATCTAACTTATAACCGTTTGACACTGTTAAAACGCATCGGATTACACAGTACTGCTATAAACATTTGTATTTTTTACAACCTAGACGCACAAAAAATAAGTGGAAAGATGACACATCTTCTTCCTTGGTGCGTCATTGTCAAAAAACACTGCCCTGGTCGAATGTATAATCTAAGGGCTTATTCAATTAAACTAAAAACATTTTTTTTTATTTTACTACGGAGCTATATACAGCTCTTTTTCAGAAGCGACCTGGCCACAAATGATAGCTGAACGAAGTGGTGGCTTATCACGTGGGCATTTATAGCAGCCAAATACTGTCAAACACATGTTTCTAAATGTGCAGGGAAAAACCAAAGGACCCGGAGAAAAATCCACGCGACCACGGGGAGAGAGACACGTAAACTCCAAATATACAGCAGCAGGCGTCATGGTCGGGATCGAACCCACGCGCCCCTGCCTTGGTCAGTCTGATAATGACCATCCAATGCGTTCACCTCTTTTGCGTTCTCCATTGCTCGTGGCATCAACGTCTCGAGCTCAAAAAAATGTTTCACTGCCACCAGCTGCACAAGAAAAGAGAAACAATGTTATACGAATAGCAAAATGTACACACCCATCGTCAATCCCACCAACGGCTGGATAAAGGTGAATTGACGTGAATTACACAGTACGGTAAATGCTCACATAAACACAGTGTGCAACAAAGACAAAGATCCCCCCGTATAGCCTGAATAGACTGAAGGGGGCAAGTGCTGTTTGCGAGCACCTATGAAGACCGGCACAGCGCACGAGGGGGTGGGTGGCCAGCACCACGCCCGGCCGCCTTTGTCTTCCCAGTGGTGACGTTTACACACCGCACCAGGTACTCATTGCAGGCTTTGTTGACCTAGGGGAGGCCCGTGACCGGTTCAGATAATCGTCACCGGTGGTGGCCGCAAGTTGGGAATCGAACTCGGGTCGCCGGGTTCGTAGCGCAGCGCACTAACCACTCCACCACCGCTCCCCAAAAACACGCACACTCATCGGTCATGATGGACATTTCTCCATACCTCACCGCGCTTATCGACGAGGGTTGATAACGGTTATCGATCTCCCACACCAGGGATAGGCAACCAAAGTCACAAAAATAGACAATCCGCCCCCACCGCGAATTCGGTAACAATATCAACAAAATGACCCCTCAATATTTCAAGAGCTGCAGTGCCCACTGTGTTGGCCAATACGAGACGGCGTGGGCCCTAATGAATGAAGTGACAGAGCCGCAAGGTGCGTCTTCGTGATCGAAGCCTCGACCTTTCGTTGTGTCACTGAAGACGCAGCCAAGCACGAGGGATTGCGATGGTTAATTGGATCGGCATACCTGGTCAACCCCTTATCAGTGCCCTACCTATTTACACACCAATTCAGACATTATTGGTCACCCCGTGCCCAGTAAAATTCTCAACGTTCATCTTACAAAGTCCCATCACAAGGGAGAAACACAAACAAATAGATCAACATTTGTTTTGCCCGTATTGATACGGCTGTACGCCGCATGAACCTGAAAACTCGATTTCCCTGTACAAGAATACGGGGAATAAACCGTGTGGGTTGACACGAACTCAAAGCAAGCACCACAATCAGCGCCTGTGTTTATACCGAGACGCTTTACGTAAGCGCACAGTGCAGATGACACGGATAGTTCATGTTAATTCGGTGTTTCACACGCAGTTCCATCAAAAGCTACCAACTCATGTGTCCTCACGCATTGTTACGAATCTCAGCCCCAGTCACACATATCTGACAATGACTTCCATACTCTGAGTCATTGTCACGAGTTAGCAAGTGCCAAGCTAAGTGGTTAACGAGTTTCAGAATACACTCGAAGGGTTAAGTAGCGTGGTAAGCCAAAGGTTTACTGACCACCACATTAATCGCAACACATTTAAAAGCGAATAAAACTCACGACAAACACCTTCGCCGACGCGAACCCCAACAGCCTCAGCGTCGTCCCAGTCTACAAGACACAAGCGACGCCCACGGAGTACAGTAACCCCATTATAATTAATTATGAATCATTAAAAACGCATAAAGATTCAGCGGAAGTGACGCCCTTACAAGATGTGCAAACGTTACCAGGCCAGGAGACGGTCGCTCACCACCACCGACCACTCATCGTAGGTCCACTTGGCTGCACGAAAGGCCCTCTCCCCGTGTCCCCGACCCCACGAGGCTGGCGATGAAACGAAACTGGGCCAGAAATCATCCCCCCGCCGCCGCCGCCACTTGTACTAACAAAGGGTTTTCTCGCCAAGTCACCCGTCTAATTATTATTACAACGACTACTACGACTACACAGTTCAATGATCTCGCAAGCGAAGCAGAATTGTATTGAAGCCTAGCAGACGGCAGTTGCTTGTTTGGGTGACAAGGCTGCCTAGACCCAGACGTGTGATCGGCTCTCAGCTGTTGATGGTGCCACGTGGTGACCGGCAGAGGGCGGTGCGGCAAAAACAACCAAGCAGGTTGCGCCGTGGAGCTGCACTTACAAGCGCTACCGGCTTCAAAAGCAAACTCCACGAACCCCCCTCAAAGCCCCTTCCCAGCACTGACCGGCGTGGCCAAGTGAAGGATTCAAGTAGGAACGGTGAACGCGACTCTGTGGGCCTCCGTATCGAGCGGTGGATAGAGCTGCCGGTGCGAACGCCGTGAGCGCGACTCTCACCGGCTCGGGTGGTTTGCTGGGGGGGGAGCTGCGCGTCTCTGCCGAGTCGGCGTGAACCCCGCGATTAGAATTTCTAGCGCGCTTCCGTCAAGCGAGGAATACCCCCCCCCCACACCCTCCCAAACCAACCCCCCACCCACTCTCCCAAACCCCCCTCCCACCCCCACCCCCTCCCACCACACCCCCCACCCCCCCACACCCTCCCAAACCACCCCCCCCACCCTCCCAAACCCCCCCCACCCTCCCAAACCCCCCCCCACCCTCCCAAACCCCCCCCCCACCCTCCCAAACCCCCCCACCCTCCCAAACCCCCCCCACCCTCCCACCCTCCCAAACCCCCCACCCTCCTAAACCCCCCCCCCACCCTCCCAAACCACCCTCCCAAACCCCCCTCCCAAACCACCCCCCACCCTCCTAAACCCCTCCCCCACCCTCCCAAACCACCCCCACCCTCCAAACCCCCCCACCCTCCAAAACCCCTCCCCCACCCTCCCAAACCCCCCCACCCTCCCAAACCACCCCACCCTCCCAAACCACCCACCCCCACCCTCCCAAACCACCCCCCAACCCCCCAAACCACCCCACCCTCCCAAACCACCCACCCCACCCTCCCAAACCCCTCCCCTACCCACCCAAACCCCACCCTCCCAAACCCCCACCCTCCCAAACCCCCACCACCCTCCCAAACCCCTCCCCCACCCAGTCTATCACCATTGGCGGAGCGCTCGCACGTGGCCCATTGGGGCATCACGTTGTGGGGTGGAGGGGAGGGGGTACCCGCTCGTGCGTATGCGTGGTAGGGAATGTAAAACGCCGGATCGTGTCACGTGATACTCGGGAGGAGGGGGCACGTGGTCGCGCCTTCGTGACTGCCCGCCACGTGCTTTTCCTGGACTCTTGTCAATCATTCAATGTCTCAGTATTTACGGTTAAAAAATCATCATGTTCATCGTGGTCTGATTGACGTGATATGATTGACGTCTGCACTCAGGCTACACCAGCCAATCAGCTGCCAGTAAAGTGATCGTCATGCAAAGTGCACATTTGGCCGCCGCGACGTGCATCGCTTCGTGAATTTCCTGGACATATGTAAATCGGATTCCTCCAGTATGAATACATATTCTGATTCTGAACTTCATTCAGCCAGGCTGTGGTTGTATATGTATTATTCATGTTTTTTTTAATATGATTTTGCGTGCGTTTATGTGTGCGAGTGTAATTGTTCCAGTGTTACTTTGCATGGGGACGTCTTTATACGTATGCGGTTTTTTTGTATCGTGTGCTGCGTCGGCCCTAATAGGTGCTCGCCAACAGTCTGTTAAAAGGCTATACGGGAGATATTCTTCCATATGTAATTGGAGATATAGCAATTCGTTACTCAGGCCCCTGGTCACATCTGGTTTTGTTTTCTTAAATGACTGAAAACAGGTAACAAGTCCAAAAACAATAACACGCTGCTTTATTGTAAACAACACAACACAAGTCTCACGATAAAACAACACCACCATGTACTGGGACTAACATCCAAGCAGGTCCCCCCCCCCACCCTGCCCGCCCGCATATTTCTGATCTTAATGTGCAAGAAAAGTGTAGAAATATAATACAAGTTGAGCACCAAGAATCACATACAAGCGGTTGTCCCCTGCGTGTCCTTTGACGTGCAGCCAATGCAACGGCATGGCAATGCACTCTATGAACATCATGCACTGTGACAATGGGGCATTTCACACACGTACGCAGGTGTTGCTGTCTGCCACGAGCGTGCCGACACGATTGACGACAGTACCTGCCAGAGGTGTGGACTCGAGTCATGTGACTTGGACTCGAGTCAGACTCGAGTCATGAATTTGATGACTTGAGACTCGACTTGGACTTGCATAACAATGACTTTGTCCCACCTCTGGTACCTGCCATGCGAAAGGTCTTTTGTCGACACCCAATAAACACGCAACGTTTGGTCAACGTTGGCACGTGAATGGAACAGTTCGACAAACATAGGCCCAACGTTCCATGTTTACTGGGGTAGTGGTATAAGGGGCCGTCCATAAATGACGTCACGCGATTTTGGAAGATTTTTGACCCCACCCCTCTCCTCGTCACACGGCTGCACTCTGCTGTAAAAGAAAACATTTATCAAAATGTCTATTTAACTAAGTAGAACGTGTTGTCTATATTTATTTAAAGTTGCACATTTTGATGTGACGTCACATTTCTCCCCCCCCCCATCACACATCGTCACAAATGTCTGACCCCCTCCCCTAGATGCGTGACGTCATTTATGGACGGCCCCCAATCCCCTATGCCAACCACGCTGCGCTACTGATGACATAAAAATTCCATCGAGGACAATGTGCAGATGATCGAGTCAACACGGCTGTGGACGTGGGTGCTCATGTCAACATCAGTGCTACAATATCAGCATCCGCGCCGAAATTATGAGAAAGTCTGGCGTAATTATTTAGAGCTACGGACAGCATATACAGAAGCATGTATAGATAGATGAACACAATATATACATCCAGAGTATGTAAACTGCACGCACATACGACACATGAAGCGTATATACTGCACAAAATATACTGATTTGGGATTAATTTCTCACTGAACTTTTTCCAGGTCGCCGTTGGAATGGATCAGGCACCGCGACTCGTTGCCACAGCCACAACGGGATGTAAAGTGTAAATGATATTCCGTTTGTGAAATATATTCTGGGTCATTGATCACGACTCATAGCATATGAAATATAGTTTTAATACATCGCAGTATATAAATGTTACGTGCTGTATATGCAAACACCATGTATTATCGTATGTATTATGCATTAGAAGACTAAATAAAGACATGTAAACGAACAAAAGTTTAGTTAAGCAATATCTATGTCCGTGTGATACTCGTGTGCGCCGTCAGCTGTATAAACCCTGGGAACACATCTTTCCCAACCCTATCACCTACAGGACAGCTCCGTCTCGGTGATATCGTCCTAATGATGTCCACGCAGGACGGGAATCAAGTGGAGATGTGGGAGCCAATGGGAAGTGAGGTGTTGCCCTTTTTATGTCATCTTAGCAACTTTGACATGACGTCGACTCGAGAAGCGCACGTGAAAAGTGCCACCACGTGGATGGAGTGCCACCACGTGGATAAATGCACGCATTTAATGTCAACATCTTAAAACTGAACATAGCCAATGCTTATTTAACATTCCAATTATCATTAGCTACACGTTAACTAACATAATGGGGAATGTTAGGTTACCAAGCACAGTATAAAATGGACATGTAGAATATTCTAGATTTGAAGCTTTCGTGACTGCAAGGATTCATACTCTTAGGTGTTTTTTTTTGTAAAGTCACGTACTTTTATTAATTTTATTTTTTACCTACGTGACTTCACCGAAAAAAAAATCTAACATGTAGAATAGTTTAACACCATGAGAAAACTATGAGTCTGTATATCATCAACATAAAGCATGAAATTCAAACAATACGAACCATCAAATAAAGCAGTAAGGCATATTACAACCATTTAGAAAGAAGTGCACATGGATTCAATAACATACGCAGGTTGAGGATATTCTGTTCAGAAATGTGGGTTTGGGCAGGACACTTCGCTCAAAGGGATGATGGGAGATCGTAAAGAATGACAGGAACAGCCAAGGGATTGGAACACATCCATGAAGACGTCCAGAGGAAGGTAACATCAGTTAATTACAAGATAGTTAGGGACGGTGACGGATTGGGGAGACCTTCATCTAGCAGTGGCTTGAACATGGCTGATGGCTACCATTTATAGATAAAAATGTTGTGGACAATCTGCATAATATAATGGAGATAAAATTCAACATTAAGGAGCTGACGAGTACAGTACTGTATATGACTAAATAAGCTTTATGAAAATAACGTAATGTATTTAACATATATGGCCAGATTCAAATGTTGATTAAATGACCCAAATACATTGCCTTGATAGAGACGTTCCTGTTGGAAATCAAGACATTGGCACATTTTCAATGTTCACCAAAAAAGTTATAGGCCAATAAATGAAACCGTGTTTCAAAGGCAATGTTCAGTATTACATATAATTTCCAGCTATCTGGCAGAACCACTTTACAACAATAATCCCTCCATCAGGATAGTAATACCTATATTACAATACTGTATAACACGTATTTTTGTATCTCAAACACTAGTTAGAATATAATAGGGTTTTCCCCTTTTTTTCTGGCAAAACTGAAACCTTTTTACAAGGAATCATATATGCATTAACCACAATACTTGTGGTCAAAATGCAAACAAAAAACACACTGATAATATATGCATTGTCCTTGAAACTGATTGGTCCACACCAGAGACGTTTTTCTTTTGAGCCTCGTCTCAATTGGTGCTAGACCAGAGGACGCCAAAAGGGCGTACAGCTCAAAGACAATGCACTATCAAAGTAATGCTTACCCCGAGCCCTCATTACAGTGGTAATATCAAGCAAATGTTTGACTGTAATTAGTCAGTGACAACCATTAATACATTTACCAGAGGTGGGACAAAGTCATTGTTATGCAAGTCCAAGTCGAGTCTGAAGTCATCAAATTCATGACTCGAGTCTGACTCGAGTCCAAGTCACATGACTCGAGTCCACACCTCAGAGCTGGGACAAAGTCATTGTTATGCAAGTCCAAGTCGAGTCTGAAGTCATCAAATTCATGACTCGAGTCTGACTCGAGTCCAAGTCACATGACTCGAGTCCACACCTCTGACATTTACTGCAAATTGTAATGCATGTTTGACACTGTTAAGTCAACATATACAAATTTCTAAAAGCATTAATGTACATTGCACAAAAAAATTCTAAAGTATAATGTACATTGCACACATAAAACTTAGTCT